GTGAGACCCCAAAGCAGAACTCAGGGGGCAGCCGCAGACACAGGTTTTTGTGGTGGAGCCAAGTGTCACGCTCCTGAGGGACCTGGTTAGAAAAGCCCCCCACCTCTGTCTTTGGCTTGAAGCCTCTCCTTCCATCCAAGAGGAGTCACGTGCTCCATAACTTAGACCTTCTGCTCTTGGAAAGCTCAGCAGCCTCCGGCAGGAGCAGACACTGACCTCACCTCCCTGGGGGCATATCCCAGGCCCCTTGACTCCTGTGAAGGCCTACGGGGGCTCCTGGCCTGCAGTGACTTAGGCTTTGCCTCAGTGCCTGGACACTCACCCCACCAGGTCTAAAAGCACCCCTTTCCAGACGAGCCCCAATGTGCTTGGGGAAGAGGGTAACAGGCCAAGTCATAGCCAAGCCTCCCAGGACCAGATCCTCTGCTGGAGTCAAGGCCCGCCTGGTGTGGTCGGTGCCCAGGCAGCGGTGAGCCCCCCAGCCCACCTCGGCCTGTTCTCCTCCCCTGCACGTCACAGCCAATGCACTGGCACGGCCAGGCTGGGCGGGGGCAGCAGGAGGGCGCCTTCAGGAGATAAAGGCATGTGATGTGATGTCTTACAGCCTGGAGGCTGGAGGCGTGTGGTGTGAATGACCAGTCTGCTCACAGGCAGCAAGGGCCTCCCACAGCTGTGGGTGCTGAGGCCGAGTCTCACAGACTTCTCCTCGGGACTGGGCTGAAAGAAAGGAAATGCCAGGGTGAGGGGCGGCTGGGCTGCAGGGGCAGGCAGGATGGGCCGGCAGGGCCTCTCTGTGACCAGGCGTCTCAAGCTGCAGCTGAGGACATCCGTTACCCCCAGGAGCGGGTCCAAGGAGTCCTGAGATGGCAGGAAGGAAGCCTGACTGAGGGGCGTTTTCAGCCAACCTGCCCCCAAGCACTTACGGGCAGGGGTGGGAACCGGGCCAGCGGCAGGCCACCAGTCCTTTTGTCACCAGTGAACACATGGGAAAGCTTCTTTTACAAGTGTGACCATCCCCTTGTGCCAGTGCCAGCCTCGGGGGCGCACTTCTGCCAGGAGGTCCATAGGAGCCAGCTGCCCAGTGCTGATGGTAGCGCCCAAACACTCACCTACAGCATGGAAAGGGGGCTGATCCCCGCGGGCTTGTGCCCCGGCAGCTCCTGGAAACCCAATCCCACCTGAAGAGGGACCCTAACCATGGTGATGCACTTCCTGACACGGATCCATGTGGTTGCTCCTGTGGCAGCGAATGGGGGGCTCCCTCCAGCGATCTGCCTACCAGACCCACAAATAACGTGTGTACAAATGCACTGCATGTTCACCATGGGCTGCAGGTCTAGGGGCACACACCCACACGTGGGCACTCACATGAATGGCTGCCAGCAGTGCTTGGTGGACGTCTCAGGGAGGGAAGGGTCAGGGACAGTGACTGCACCCCTGAGGGGCCTGCTACTTTCCAGCCACACGGGAGGCAGAAGTTCTAATTTACAGGCCGAGGAGTTCAGAAACTTGCTGGGAATGGGGACAATAACAAGGGCCAGGAGGCTGCAGTGGGCATTATGAAGCGTGCACCTGGAGCGGACGGGTGGACAGGGACAGAACTGCACTGGCCCTAGATCACCTCCTGGCTGCCATCACCCCAAGGCTCCAATTTGTACCGATTTTCAGGGGGAGGAACACAGGGTCTCAGTGGTGGGAGGCTGTGGTGCCCTAGGGGACAGTGCATTGGATCAGGTGCCTGACCAAATGCCTCCTGGATCCTCCATCCTGCAGGCCCTCCCAGAAAGCCTGGCTATGGTGGAAGTCAAGGTGAATGACGACGCTATGCACTTGAACTATGGGGAGCGCAAGATGCGGCATTCCCAGCAGCCAGCAGGTGTCCCTGTGCTGACCACAGGTGGAAAGCAGCCCAGGGACAGCTCTCTACCGTCTGATGGTCTTGCCAATGGGGAGACAGAAGCACCTGGCAAGTGGATGAACACTCATGACCCACAGGTCCCTGCCCTGGCTATGTACTCCTGAGGCCAGGAGAGAAGGAGCGGGCTGCCAAGGGCATCCTGCAGCCCAGGGGCTCCTCCCAGGCCCATCGACACCCCTAACAGAGGTCATGTCACCCATCTGCAAATGAGGACAACACTGCCCAAAGACACATAAAGTGAGCTCAGGACTCCTGCTGCCCAGAGAGCACGCCCAGCCCAGCAGTCCCCCAACACAGAACCCCAGGGTGAGGACTGACCACTGCTGGAGCCAGATGGGCACAATGCGGTCCACTGTGCCATCCTCTCCACTTCTGTGTTGTGATGAAATATGTTTTAAAAACTAGCCACGACAATCTGAGAACAAGGGAGGGGAGTATGTTTCTCTACCAGATAAAGAAGACGTACCATAAAGCTAGATCATTAGTGAGGGACAGAACAGGCGTGTATGAGATGGCATTATGGACAGGTGTGGGCAGCATGGCATCCAGCACTGGAGGCTGACAGTCACCTGCCCTGTGGGAAAGGTGGAACGGGGTCCTCTATCGGTTAGGATAGAATAGGCCATGCTGTGGAAAACACAAGTCCCCAAACTCAGTAGCTTCACACATTCAATGTTTATTTTCATTCCTATTACATGCTCAGCGCCGGTGGGTGGAGAAACCACGCTTCTCAGGCTCTCTGATGCTGGCAGCAGCCGCCTCCGCACCCCACACCATTACCGAGTCCACAGTCAATGCAAAAGGCAAAGCATTAAACCTGGGAATACAGTGTAATGTCCTTGACCCTCAGGTAGGGAGATATTTCTTAAGAAGAGTCCTGCCCTAGCCGGGTGGCTCAGTTGGTTGCAGTGCTGTCCCATGCACCAAAAAAAGGTTGCAGGTTCGATCCTTGATCAGGGCACGTACAGGAGGCAACCGATGGTTGTTTATCTCTCACATGGATGTTTTTCTCTCCCTTCCTCTCTCTCTAAAATCAATAAAAACATATACTCAGGTGAGGAGTTAAGAAAAAACAAAGAAGGCCTAGCCCAGCCGTGGGCAAACTACGGCCCGCGGGCCGGATTCGGCCCGTTTGAAATGAATAAAACTAAAAAAAAAAAAGACCGTACCCTTTTATGTAATGATGTTTACTTTGAATTTATATTAGTTCACACAAACACTCCATCCATGCTTTTGTTCCGGCCCTCCGGTCCAGTTTAAGAACCCATTGTGGCCCTCGAGTCAAAAAGTTTGCCCACCCCTGAATTAGCTCAAAGAAATTTGTATTGAGGAAAATATAGCTCTTAATAAGCTCTTAAGACATGTGTCTTAGAAGTGGTCAAAGTCATAGACCCAGATCCTATTGCCAGACGTAATTTAACTCTGATTATTCAGGAAAAGGACTGAAAGCTTATAGAAAATGTCTAGCAGAAGAAGAGTGATTTTTACAGACCCATCCAAGCAGCATTCAGTCTTCTTCAGTCCAAGGAGCTACTGGACATTGTAGCATCCCATGTTCATGGACATGGTAGGCTCATCCACAGTGTGACTCAGAGCAGTCATACCACAGAGAATAACCTTGTAATAAAAGCCCTGCCTTTTTATGGCAGAGTTGGGTCTTGAAGAAAGTTCTCCTTGATGTCCAGTCTTTAATTTTCAGTCCTTAGGCTTAAACAATTTTAGATATATATATATTAATTAAAAAAAGGAAGTGAGAGTTCTGCATACAAAACAACTGGGCACTTACTTCCTGCTCCAGGGGCCTAGAGGGGCTCTACACAGGGCATTCGGTGACACTCAGAAGGGTTCTCATGACAGTACTGCCCCAAATTGCAAATAAATTAATTTAAAAAAGAAATCCATCTTGGGCAGTATAATTGTGTCCCCCCAAATTCAGAGTTCTAACCCCCAGCACCTCAGAATGTGTTTATTTGGAGACGTGACCTTTAAAGAGGTAATTAAGATTAAATTAAGTCATATGGGCGGGCCCCAATAATATGACTGGTGTCCTCTAAGACATCAGGACACAGACAGGCACAGAGGGACCACCATGTGACGGGAAGACAGCCATCACAAGCCAGGGAAAGGGGCCTCAGGAGGAACCACCCCTGTAGAGACCTCGATATTAGACTTCTAGCCTCCAGAACTGTGGAAAACACACACACACACACACACACACCATTTTTGGTTTAAGCCATGCAGCCCTAGCAAACGCACGCAGGCATCTTTCCAGGGTAACGATGCAGCTCGCCAACCACTGCCTCGATGGCTGCACTCTTGAGTCGTGCTGAGTGGATGCTTGCTCTTCTCAAGGCTGAGCGCCCACCCTACCCCACAGGAGGATTAGATGCTCTCATCCATGCAAACTCAGGTGTGGCTTCTCTGGCCAGGGAATCGGTAACAGAAGGGGAGAGACATATATCACTTGTGGTTCACGGGGGTCTTTCCACTCTTTCTGTGTTCGTAGAAAAACACATCCAGTGGGGCTCCTGTTGGCATGGGTCCCTAGGGCACTATAAAGGGCAGAGGCTGTCCCAGTGGATCTGTGACTGGGATGCAAAGTTTGTTACTGCAGCACAATCTGGCACATCCTGACTGATACAATGGATAACAGCTCCATTTACCTCCCTCCTTACTGCTGGGCCTTTGGGCTGTTTCGTTCTGCTGCAGTCACTAGGGCTCAGGCCACTGCACGGGGGTTATCTCATTCAACCCTTCTGCACTCTGTGTGGATAAACTACAGTTCACAGAGGTCAAGATGACACCAAGGACTGTCAGCATCCAAGTGTAATAGGAAAGGTATGACCAAGCTCAAGTCCATGCTTGAAGCCCCACACCAAGGAATGAGCAATGACCAAATATACACAGGTGAGTGGTCAGCGTCTATGCACCTAGTAATGTCACGTGGGCAAATCATAGTACTTGACACTTCAACCAATAGCATTTAAAAAGTCTGTTTCTTCATGCCTTCAGTAATTCTGGGTATCTAAGACTTTTAAAGTAAGTTCTAGAATCACAGACTGGATTAATACTACTTTAATGATTTTTAAAATGTTGAAATCTTTAATTCATCTGGAGTATAGGCTAGTAGGAAGAGGAAAGTATGCAGTTTTACTATTTTCCAGATGGCTATTCAGTTGTTCCAACTCCTTTTACTGAATAATACATTTTACTCCCATTAATTTGAAACACCTCTAGTATGAACTAAATTCCCATTTGGCTTTATTCCAAAGTTCTCTATTCTCCTCTGTTCATCTGTCCACACCAATTTCCAAGCACCTTCATTATTGCAGCTTTATAAATGTTCACTATCTCATAAGATCTTTCCCTCAATACTTCCGGTGTCAGAATTTTCTTGTAGATAGATACTTTAAAAAAAAAATCCATAGTGCCCGCTGTGTCCTATCTTTAAGAAATTAAGTCTGCAGGTATTTCCAAGGACGTGAGGGACAGGCATGATGATCTAGAAGGGCCCTCATATAAGCTGGCAAGACAGCTCTGGCAGTAGAATCTAACGCTGCTTTCTGGGAGGATGGCCCAGTTGACACCCTACTATGTTGCTGGCCTCTGCACCGGCTGCCTTTCCTGTCTCCATGTAGTGGACCTGGAGTGAATTCCTTCAGCTCAAGATTGGCATTTTCCCTTCCGACCCCCTGGGTTTTTTCCTCCCTCGGGCTCCAGGCAGCTCCTGTCCAGGGCTTGGGTTACCATCTCACATCCCTCTCCCGAGGCCAGCTCTGCCAAGGCAGGCCCCAGGGGATTGGGGGAGCGGCCAGATGACCTGTTTAATTTGGAGAAAGCAAAGGAGAAGAGGAAGGACCTCACTGGTGATGGCAAGGTGCCTGTTCCTGGGTGGCATCAGGAGAGGACGGGAGGGCTCTGGCCTGGCCTGCCACACAGGCCGTGTACAGTGCTGCAAAGTGATGGCTTCCTCTGGCGCTGTCCCTGCCTTTGGGCAGATGCAGGGACCTAGCTGCTTTCCCGCTCTGTGGGGAACAGGAACACAGCATCAGGAGAGGAGGCCTGTCATGCTTGGTGGGAGGAGGGCCCTTTGAGCATTCACCACTCCCAGCTCTCCACACACAGGCGGGCCACCCCAAGGAGGGTGCTCCTGAAAGCTGCATGGTCTGGCGGGCTTGCAGAGGTGTTAGGGACAGGCTGGCTGGAGTGGGTGGGAGCAGTCAGACTGTGCCTGCAGAAGGAGGGCCTGGGCCTGAGCAACAGCAGGGAGGGGCAGTAGTGTTATCCCACACAGAGGGACTGGGGCTGCCTAGAACATTCTGGGATTTCCCACATCTGATCAGAAAGGCAGCTTGGGGCTGGGGCCTGGCCTCTCTGTTCCTGACAGAGTGGGCACAGTGCTCCTGCCAACGGAACAGACTCTGCTTGTGGGCAGCCACCATGCCACAGGCCCAGCCATGGATCCGTCGCACATTTAATGAGCACTGGTTGTGTGTCAAGGACACGAGCTAAGATGGAGCTCCTGCCCTAGAGGCTCACAGTCTACGCAGATACACAAGTCATGCAGTGCTGGGTTCAGCACTGAATCCGCAATGTGCAAGAGTGGGCAAGAGGCAGCTTGCTTGCTTTGCTTTTCGGGTTATATTAGCTTCCCATCTATTTCCAAGATTTGCAACTGTTATACCTGCACGTTATCTGTGCCTTAAAATAACTCACACATAAAACCATCTGAACCCAGAGCCTTTTGAAGTAAGTTATTAAATAAAATAATCCCAACAATGTGCTTAAAAATTTTTATCAGATGTTTTGCTTATTACAATTTTTCCTAAAATAACTAGTTTTAGTTGCAGTTCCCATTTCCACTTATTTCTTCTTTCTACTTATTTCTTCTTTCCAGGAAGGTGTTCTTTTGTTTACACAATTGTAAAACTGAAAGGGGCTTGAAATTCTTGCCTAACCACTGCTCTGATTGGTGCACTGTACCAATCCTATGTTCAGTTTAGCTTGAGGGAGCTTCCCAGCTCAGCTCATTATTAGAAAACCCATGCTTGTGCAGAACAGGTCTTTCTTCATTCCAATCCTCTGGCCCCCTGGGGCCTCCCAACTCAGGTCTGCTGCCTGCTCCTCACTTCACCTCTACTCCCAGAAAAGTCAGTTTTCAAGGCCACACTTCACCTGTCAGGCCTCCCACTCCCACCCATTCAGCCCAACTCCTCAAACAGACCGTTCCATCCTCAGAGCTCCCAACCATACATGCAACACTGACCTGGTGTGGGTGCTTGGGGCTGGGGCCTGGCCTCTCTGTTCCTGACAGAGTGGGCACAGTGCTCCTGCCAACGGAACAGACTCTGCTTGTGGGCAGCCACCATGCCACAGGCCCAGCCATGGATCCGTCGCACATTTAATGAGCACTGGTTGTGTGTCAAGGACACGAGCTAAGATGGAGCTCCTGCCCTAGAGGCTCACAGTCTACGCAGATACACAAGTCATGCAGTGCTGGGTTCAGCACTGAATCCGCAATGTGCAAGAGTGGGCAAGAGGCAATGACTGTTGAAGAGCAGAAAGTGGAAGGGCATCAGGGGCAAAGGCACTGAGATAGGAAAATGGAAGAAAACCAGGTGACTAGAATGTTAACACCGAAGAAAATGCCTGGAACAGAGTTGAGACTGAAAGGTAGCTTGCATTCTACCTTCCTGTATTGGAGCCTTCCCAGCTGACCAGGGCTGCTGCTAAACCCACAGAAAAGCATCTTTCTCTACCAAGACACCATCTGACTCACACTCAACAATGAAAGTGGCCACCTCCTCCATGCAACCTTCCTTAAATTCCAGTCCAGAGGACAGGTCACGGAAAACAGAGATAGGGGTGGGGGGCAAAGCAAAGACCATACAGGGACCAAATTTCAAAAAGGCTGGCATGGCAAACCCAGTCCAGTTGCAGCCACTGCAGGGGGCGGGTTATAAAGACAGTGCAAACATATGACGAGGACTGATCTATAGAGCTCTGTCCAACTAGTGAGAACAAACCCAGGTGAGATGGCACTCCAAGGGCAGGTGTGGGGATGCAGAGCCCAGCAGGAAGCAGCCTCTGTGCCATCGGGGAAATCAGAGAATGAGGAGCAAGGGCAGAGGCCAGCGGTCTGCTGTGGTCGGGGAGGGGGAGGACAAAGGCAGAGTCCAAACAAGTACCCCTCCTGCCCAGCAATGGGGCAAGTGGACAGCGCCACACCTGGCAGCACTATATCTAGAGTCATCTGGCAATGCCACTTGGTCCTGGGAGGGAGAGTGGGAGAGTGGGGGAGGGGCTGCGGGATTCCTTGGCTACATAGGCCACTTCATCACGAGGAGCACTGCTGCACCTGCCTGGGACCTGTTCAGAATCCAGGGCTGCAGGGTGGAGAGCAGGAGGAAAAGGTGGCTCTGCTGGGGTCTCCACCGCCCCTTGTGGACCACTTACCTCCCCTGTCTTCTGGGGTTCTGGCCCCCCTGGGTGAGCTGGATCTGGTTGCTGGGCAGGGGGCTTAGGCAGATTCTGAAAACACAAGGACAGGTTTGGGGGCCATCTCTGTTGGCCCCACCAGACCAGGATTGGTGCTGCACGCGGAAGTGGACAAGGCAGGGGGCTCAGTGGGCCCAGGGCTGCTCTCCTTGGCCAGCTGCTGCTCAGGCAGAGCATTTTTAATTCAGAGTCAGAACTAGAAGTAGCAGGGGTGGCCAGACTGTCTGGGACAGGCCTGAGGGTAGCACCCATGTTGAGTGCCAGGGCCTCCGAGAACCTAGCTAAGTACAGCCTCACCACAGGCAGCTGCGGGGCCACTGGTGGCTGGCTTGAGGTGGGGACAAGGGGCAGGGCTGTAGCATGGTCCTCAGCAAAGCTGTTCAGGTTTTGAATAACCTCCTCAGGATCCTGGCAAAAGAGCTCATCATCATCAAGCAGGGACAGGTCCCCGTCAAGGTAGGGGCTGCCCACGCCCAAGCTGGGTCTGTCAGGCGCCCCGAGGACCTCGCAGACTCGGCTGAGGTTTTCCTGGCAGTGCTCTAAGTGGAAAGACATGCCATCGCTCAGCTGGGCCAAAAAGCGGTGCAGCAGCCATGGGGAGCCATCAAAGGTGCCTGGGTCTGAGCCTGGCACCCAGTGGAAGTCCACCCTGAGGGGTCGTGGGTCGGGCATGTGCACAGTGAGGTAACCCTTTTCTGTGGCTTCACAACTCACTGTGCTCTTCTGCTCCACAGCCGTGCACACACACACAGGGTGCCCACAGCAGGGCTGCTCAATCCAGGGATCCACTAGGGGGGCATACGCAGCCCCCAGGAGGGCCCAGTCAATCTCTTGCCAAGGGGTGTACGTTGGATAATTGGCTGCAGCCCAGATGGGACTGCAAGGACCCTGCCACCGGCGCCAGCCACAAGGAATGCTGGGAGTGGAGGGAGGCTGCTGCACCAACTACTAGAAAGAAGGGGAAAGGAGAGGAAGAGATGGCACAGGAAGGGGCGGGGGGAGGGTTGTGGTCAGAAGAGACACACAGGACACAACAGGACAGAGATGGGCTAGAGATGGGTGTGGTAAACCCAGGTGTTCTGGGCAAGTGCTGAGGGTCAGGGAGGCTGAGAAGAGCTCACAGGACTGTCAAACACAGGTCACCATCCAAGGCATTCTGTCCAAAAACAAGGTGGGGAAGAGCAGAAACTAGGCCCAACCATCACCAAGGGGCTGCAGGAGGAGGCAACAAGCAGGCCAACCCTAGGTAACCCACCAGGAGTTTGGAATGGAAGGAGGGCCTGGGATGTCCAAGAAGGCTGGCCAAGGCCACCTGTGACATTTCAAGGGCGAGATGTGATGGCAGATGCTGTCAGTACCAGAAGGAAAGGGGCCAGATCAGAAACCCCTGGGCTTCCTTGAACAGCCTGGCTATCAGGGAATTTCCGGAGAATGACAGTAGCAACCTTTTACTAAGTGCTCTATCCACCACCCCACACCCTGACCCTCTCGTAAGCTTGGTGCTATTACGGTCCCCGAGGCAGAGTGGTGAGTGAAGTCACTTGTCTGCAGCCACACACCAAGCAGTAAGTGGCAGAGGCAGCTGAACCTGGCTCTAGAGACCAAACACTTAACCATCAACTTCACCACACCAATTACGAACTACACTTTACAATCTGCTTAGGAGTCTTCTGGCCGCCCCAAGCACTAACACTAACGTGTGGCACAGACCGTCATGCGATGGTCTTAGGTCACAGCATCAGGAGCAATGTACCTGTGTGTGTGACAGAAGCCCCGCGCCTTGCTATTCTGTCTCTAGGCCCTAGACTTTCCAGACTCGCTTCACCACTCAGAGTACAGCCGACGGGCAATGCCACCCTGACCCTGAAGGCCACCTCCCTGCACTCCTTTCCCTGTCGAAAACCCAGCATCCGATGTTCAAGTTGAATCCCACTTGCTGCACCTTCTCTCACCTCCCTAAAGTTACTCCTGCAAAGGGCCTGGAGAGCAGTGAGCATCGACCCTGAGTATTCAGGGAAAGGAGGCTGTAACCATCAGCAGGCACAGTTCTTTTCCACGGCAAGGAGCCCTCCCCCAGGGCTCTCACACGGCCTCGCCTAACATAGCCACCTCCTCAGTCTCTGCAAAGGGAGGTCCGCTCATGGCCTCTGCAGCACTCTCTGCTTCACCCCTCCTTGTGCGGTTTTCCCAACAACCCCTCCACTCACATCCCAGTGCTCCGCACCTAGGGCACCGCGGCCTGCACACCCCTTCGTGTGCAGTTTCCTATGTGTTTACCTGGCCCCCATCAGAGCGAGTTCCTCCAGGAAGGCACAGCTCTATTGGTCTTTCTGCCCAGAACCTCCCAGGGTGGCCTGCAGCACTCGAAGCTGCCAGGGCCACCAGCACCTACCTCTGCCACCCAAGCATTACAGAACCTCTTAGGTATATTCCCTACCCTGGGGGTGGTCTTCCACCTAAAAGCCCTTCCCATCCTAAAACAAGGAAAGAATATTCGAGGGCCTGCAGTGGCCCAAGGAGCAGCACACAAAGGCAGCACACTCATCCAGCCCCGTCCCTCACCGAGCTCTGAAACGCAACAACCACATCGCAGCTCCTATCACCCACCTGAGGTCAGGTGCCAGGTCGCCCACGGAGACCACATCCCATGCCCAGGAGCCAATGCGCTCCCTTTCTCCCAGCTCGGACCTCCCGTCCCCACTTGGAACCCTAGCTGTCACCCCTCCCAACTCATCACTATTCCTGTGTGCCCTCTGCAACCTCAGGAGGAAAGCACCTCTGCGCCAAGCCGCCAGCCCTGCATGGGCCTGAGCCTTCCTACACCTGGGCCTGGCTGGTGCAGAAACCCTGGCTCTCCCACTCCTACCAATCGGTTGGTCTCTCGTTTCTGTCCTCACCGCGCCTGGCACTGAGGCATCGGGGCCCTTCTCCTGGACCGGACAGCGCTCTCTATCCAGGAGCAGGTGCCGCGGCTCACGTGCACTCGCCTCCCATAAAGTCAGAGCCAGCACCTGGGACGCTGGGACGTTCTCTATCCCGGGGAGACCCCGGGCCCCCAAGAGTAGAATAACATGCCCAAAGCCCCATAGCAAGTGCCTCCACTTCAGGGCAGACCACTGCCCCACCCCTCCTGCAACCGCCATGCCGGAAAGCGCGGGGACCTGAGCTCACAAGCTCCCCCACAAGAGGAATCCGACCCACCTACGGCTACGCCAGGCGCCCACGGAAAGGGTCCACGAATCTGCAGCCAGAGACCTTGCGAACGCGTCTCCCTCCGAGGGCGAGAGTCCCAGTGTCACCTAGAAAGTGGAGAACAAGATCGGACGCCGTGAGGCGAGGCGCGGGACTACCTCTGCGGACGGAGACGGCGGGAACCACCCGAAAACCATTGCAGACGCCCCCTCGGCCCCGGCGCGGATTGACAAACTGAGGCCCGCCGGCACCCCAGTGCGGGGACTCCAAGGGCGTCTCCGAGGACGGGGATTGGGGAAGGGACGGAGGGCGCAATCCCACTGCCGGGCGCCCGGATTCTCGCCGCCCCACTGACCCCAGAGCCGAAGATAGTGACTCCAACTCGGAGCAGTAAGAGCCTCAGGGCCCCACCGCGCTGTGCAGCCACACCCCCTGCGTGC